TGTAACTTTTGCTCTCGCACTCGCTTGTTCGGAGTATAGCTGTTGTGTTCCCTTCTGTGAGTCTTTTTTCCCCGGCACTAGGCACTGGAGCGGGTTAGCAGCAGATACCACAGATTGACGAGTCAGAAGATGTAACAGACACCAACTCCTGAAAATAAAACTGCGGTGCCCCGCGATTGGCCCATTCTTCCACGGGAGTGCAGCATAATCAGGACTGCAGACTTGTTTTACATGTCTCAGAAACATATGCTCTGGCACAGGGGTATTTTCCCTAAACACGGGGTAGGTAGTCTGGCATCGCTGCAGAGTTTGTTAGCAGTTAACTTGGAACCTAAGGACAACCTTAGAAGGTATACTTTAATTCTGAACAAATTATCACGTGGCTAGTTTAACCTTGCAACAGCTGGTAAGTACTTATACGTCACCGTCGTCTTGACTGATGTGTAGAAACTGCCAAATTAATCCTACTTTTGTATCTTGCATCTTATCGTCCGAGATGCACGTTGGTATCTCATGTCTCCATTTCAAAAATCCAAAATTCCTAACGTTGAATATCCAAATTAACTCAGTTTTGAAAATTGCGCCTTTTATCCGGACTAAAATTACACCCGTAGCTACTCTGTCAGTTGGTGTTTTGTGCATCGCTAAGTGGTGTGAAAAAAAATACTTTCAGGGTGAATGACAGCTTTATTTCACTAGAACGACGGAGATTTAGAGCTACCACCCCCGCCCCTCCACGAACACACATGCAGTTAGTGCTGGTACCTCTTGTCAATCGGCTGTCGTAGCTTATTAGCCTCAATTGTATTCGAAGCCTGTAAGCAGAGCGAGCGGTTGGAGTTGGTTGACAACCTCCTCTGTGTCCTGCTGGTTTTCCGTTGCTGCACACATGGGCGCATCCAGACCGGAAACATTGTGTTGCAACCCTTGGGGGGAAAATAGTGTATTCACATTTTTGCTTCGGTTTTCCACCGAGGTAAAGAGACACACGATTAGAGAGCGTGTCCGCACCCGTGTTCTATCGCGACTGTGCAAGATTGCAGGATGCTGATATTCGGACGAAACTGAGGTCGGGTGACAGACGTCTGGTCGCTAAGCTACGTAGCACGTGGAGCGAAAATACACACAATGAAACTGTGGCAACATGTGGACTACGTCATGGGCCCTTTCATCAGCCGCGACTATCAGTCCAGACTGGTCGATGTCAGACCGCACTGGAGCGTGAATTCTTATTTGAACGCAGTCAGCTTCAGTAACAAGCTGAGATGGAACGATCATAAGGATGCAGGTGGAACATACAAAAGTAAATGCATTTGTATTGATTGAACACAGATCACAAACAGATATTTGCAAGAATTGCTGTGAAATATCTTCTGGAATTGGCTCAGACCCACGAAACACCCCTCGACATCTGTGGCCCCATTCTAAAACTTGGTGAGCTAAAAGCAAAAATCTTATATGCAATCAAGCAACATTTACTTGGGGGTTGCAACAAAAATTTCCTGGACCCGGGAAGATAATTAGTAGTATGCTACCAATAATTTGGACTTAGTAGTCAGGAAAATTGGGAAGCAAAGTAGTAACGGCGAACCGGCAGTTTGACGTTTGCCGCACACATGTGGCCATGTGCAGTTTTGGCTCTTTGTCACTCGTAGATTTCTAGTAGTCGATCATTTCGATTCATTATCCATTGGTAAATCAGTCAGGGACATTCGCGGCTTTTTAATACACTACGCCCACAGTTTCTACAAAAATACTGACCTTGAGATGGCAGTTTATATCAGGTTTAAGAGGAAGTTTTCAGAAGACACTTTTCACGACGTTTGTCCCAACTTGTTAGGGCAAAAAAAGGCAGGCAAAAGGCAGTTTTTTCCAGATAAGCTTTGCTCGGCTGACGTGACTTTTGCACTGGTTTATTGGTTCCTTATAGGCATCGGGTGATATGTTTCTCTGGTTGATCAAGTTTGCTGGCGAATGAAACACAAAAGATGATGAATAGAAAGTAGATGGTTCTGCTGTAACACCCTTTCAGTGTCTAGCTGCCACGCCACCTGAAAGAAGCACGAGAGCTGAAAGACTGCTAGAGAGAAGCTGTCGGAATTCAGAGGCGTTGTCCGAACCACGGAGATTCCGATCGATAAGTTCGCATTTTATCCACTGAATTTGAGCTCGAAATTTGACAAGGTAATGAGTGACACAAAACATCTGAAGTCAGTATGATACCTTGGAACGGCAAACGTGTCTAGACTTTCCGATACCAGCAAATTGCTGCTCCATTTTTTTATTTTCTCCAGTTCAACGTCTTCTGAAGCTCGCTCTACACAACGGGTCGTGGTAGCACCTCCAATTGATGTTCCTGAAACAATCCCTGAATATGGACTTACAAACCGCTTTGTGGTTTTCAGCTGACGTGCTGGTGTAACGGTGATCCTACTGATGGGGAAGCATGCGAATAGGTGTTTTCCCGGTAAATTCGCTTTGTGTCTCTTGAAAAGGGAGATCTATATTGCGGAATTTGTGGAGTCGCTTTGTAGCATTTGCTTGGACTTGAGCAACGGTCGATGAATATCCAGGAAAGTTCAGGAAGACGCGTTCAAGAGAAGATGGAGGTTCAGTTTTTGTAAACAAGATGCACATGAGAGTTTTGTTGCCCTGTCCAATAGTCTGTAACTGGTCAGTTGGAATTTTCTAATAGATAACTCCGCACCGAAGGCCTTCTTCCTTTCACTGGTAGTTGTGAAGTTGGGTTAGCGGTGCCTAGAATACGAAATATCCATTGTCGGCGACGGGTGAAACCAAAATCGAAGGGATAAATATCCGACAGTATTCAGGAACATCACGTACAAACGTGATTAGGACACAGAGGGTTTCAGGAAAATTTTGAGAGCCACACTACGGATGTGGCTGACTTTTAAGTGTTCCATCATTGACCTGTTATTGACCGATGGCCAACTTTATTCACTGTCCTATGTAGAGTTATTACTTTCCAGAATTCGGTTAGGACATTTACACCAGAATTAGAGCGACTAACGCCTTAGTTTCTCATATGTTTCTATCTTGATTTACACTATTAATTTACACAGAAAAAACTGAACTTGGCCGTCAAATTTCAGACTGCTAGTTTGGGGCGAGCTCCGGTAAGCTGCGGTTCGGTGGATTTCACTGTAACTTGATTTGTTAAAGGTGTAGAAAACCAGTACAGTTGAACGAAGTTTGTCAATAGAAAACAACGGTTGTGAGCATTCACTGAACTTGACCACTTCCTTCAAAGTTCCATTCGTCCAGCGGCCTGGGATTCAACTTCCGACAAATTGATTCATTTGCATATTTATTCACGCGAGACTCAGCTGAATCTTTCTTCAACTGAACACGCTGCACAAAGGCCGTCTACTCGATGAGCCCAAGAAGGACAAAACCGGTTCTGAGCTGTCGAAGAGTTTTTCAGCAAACTTGTGAACAGTTTCCTTTATAGTAGTCAAATTCCTTTGTCCTACCTCACCTTGCAGCAAGGACCACGATGATCAGTATGGAGTCAATAGTACAGACAGTACAGTAGACAAAATTCGGTTTTGCTCTGATGACATGTGAAAATGTGCAGTGATCCAGTAATGCAAATTCACATGCCCAGTTGCAAAGGTCGCATGGAAACTGCTCGCTGTTGTCGTGTCTGAGTGAACAGGTTATGTCAACAGGTACACCCAAGATATGACAAAATATTCGTAATTATGGATCAAACTGACAAACGTTCAGCATGGCTTGACAATACGGTCGATTATGTGACCATGATCTGACCACAAGACATGTGGTAATTAGAGAAAAAATACGCTTGGACATCCTCATGAGATTCTGACTGCGTCCCATTTGTATGACGGACGTAGACACACAGATGTCAGTGACGCCACAGTGATTGGACTTCTTTTTCTAATTGGTTTTGAATACATCTTTAAGAACTTATTAAGTGGCCATTGTCAAGAAGGATGGTTAACAGCAGTCCAACTTCTTGCTGCAGTGGATCCTTCGTCCACATTCCTCCGCCGAGAAGACATGAAAATATCTCTTACGTTGATAAGAACGAACCCATAGAAACTATTGTACCATCCTTCAAAATTTGATTTCTCGCAGATACTACGTCTCAAGGTACCGTCTTCGTCATGGGACAGCGGTGCATTGCACCTGGTTTAGACATAGGATCAGTCTGTGAACCACACACCCAAGGCTTAATTGGTGCACTAAGGGCAGTATCTGTCAACTTTTCCACAAAATATACTCAGTAGAAGTGAGCCCAATAATAACTCCATGAGAGTCCCACTGACCTGGCGACAAAAAACCTCTTAACGTGTGAAGTTCACACTTCTAATCGAGCGCACAAACAATTCTCAAACGCACAAACAATTCTTCAGAAGCATTTACTGAAAGTCTTGTGGAACGCTGCTTGTTTGAGTAGCACCACGACTGAGAAGATGGCCGCAGACGTTTCAGGAGGCGTCATCACCAGAACATTTCATCCCTGTCTAACCGTGAGCCTGTTCGCAGTATCGAAACCATCTTGTCTATATGGTAAGTATGCTCCGCAAAAATGATCACAGAACGCTTATACAGTTTAAAGATAGACCCCAGCGTTGTAAAAGTAGCGCTCTTCAGTTAGCACAGGCTGATAACAACGATTTACGAGGTTTAGACGTAAGGTTGCTGAAAACCTGATGAGTAGTGCGTTAACCCCATACAATGTATTGCGATACTGGCGTATCGCACAAACTGTAAAGTGAAACGACCTGGTGCAGCACATTCACTTCAAGAAGAACATCATAAGCGATGGATTCACTTGAGTATTTCATGAAAACCAAAGTGTTATGCAAATGAGTGGATTTCGCTACTTTAGGAGGTTTATTTTCAGAAATCACCCATTCGCAAATCAATTTGGTTTTCACGAGGGACTCAACTGAATCTCTCGTTTATGATATTCTACAACTAAATGTGCTGCACACAGGCTGCCTCATGTTCTACATAAGGTTAACGGAAACTCGGGGACTGTGCCTACCTGATGAGCCCCAACAATGGCGAAACCGGTCGCGGGCTATCGAAGAGTTTTCAGCAAACTTGTGCGTAGTTTCCTTTATCAAAAGTTTTATTTCCAAATTTTCAAAGGTAGCTTTCGAATACACACTAAATACATTCGTCTGTGTCAAACTCAAACTGTCTCAAATAAAGCTAGCTGTTTTTCCGGCAGGAGTCACACCAAATAATTACTCAAGCCTAGTGGTGTCCAAAACAAGAGCAGAAAAATTACGGGTCGGCTGTAAATTTTACCGGTTGTTTCTTACCCAGTTTTTACAAGGGAAATGGCATTTCTTGTTTCTTTTCGTGTAGCACGCCTTTCTCCTCGGTCAGTGTGTGGCGTCCATGTGGTAGGTTGTCTGGCATTGTTCGGGCCGGCTGGTGGAGTAAAATTCATACCTGGTCCAGAGCATGTCGGTGAGGGGTTTTGAAAGGCTTTATTCGTCAGCGTAAGCCATTCTGCGGTCACCGGGTATCTGTCCGTACGGACGGATCGTTATTTCAGCTGTTCTGGCGTTTCACGGAAAATTTTGATTGAATTTCAGTGGGTGTACTGATGAGTTAGTGAACCGATTCCTTTCTTCAACTTTCTGTTTTAAATCTATCTTTCAAACTACTCCAGGATTTAGGAGAGCCTACGTTTTACAGCTGGCGCCTTTCTTTTAGCGCTCTGAGGGATCTGTAATTAGTTTGAAATAATTGATTTCCCTTTTAAAACGGGCTTTTTACTGTTTCTCTGTTTATTTGTTCATTGTGACAACCACATATGGATTAATGGCGATTAAGGTGTTTTATTGATTTCTCATTGCCTTGTGGATTCTGCTACAAGCAGTTTGGTTTGTCTCCAAGACACTCACGTATGGGTCATGTGAAGCGATCAGTTTGCTTAGTTTGCAGTCCTAAAATGATAGCAAAGAGGCAGACGAGTGCTACTCAAGCATCACAGATTCTCTTGGTAAGGTGAGCTACCTACGTAATTCAAATCACACGGTGCTGGATAAATGTGACCCCATGCATGAACAATCGTCAAACGGTTATATTCCCTACAATACTAAATCCAGTTACGGACATTTCCCAGTCATCAAACTCTTGTTCAAGCGCCGTAGCAAGAGAACAAGCACAATTTATCTCTTTCATCTTCCACTTTTCTTTTTCGCTGTTCCTTGTGCCAGATTACATATCCATAAAATTTCTCTCTCGCTCGCTCTTGTTTAGGAAACGCATTGATTGGAAGCGGCGTACATAGTCCACGAAATCATCACCAAATGACTTGGGTTTACGTTCCAAGGAGGAGCTAGCTAGCTAGCCCGGAACGATGATGTATTGTCATTGGGGTTTCAAACAGCACCGTTTGTCAGTTTCATTCGCGGAGTTGCTTGCCAGTAAGCGACGGCGCACATACGGAAAACAAACCGGCAAAATTACAACAACGCATACGTCATTTGACATTTGTCAGTCGTTCGGGGACGTGATTTGTCGGGTCGAGCGTGTCTGTCTGTCTGTTCGAAGAAGCTCCAATTCTTTTCTTTTTCTACCCAGATATATAGGTAACTCAACAAGTCACCTCGTTTTCTTTAAACGAGACTTTGTGTTGCCGCATCGCATCTCACCTCCCCGTGGCGTAAGACGGGTGGAGTGGGAGTGGGAATCGCCAAAGGCTGGATGTAGCTAAACAACCGGCATCTGACAGCAGTTGCCTGAACTACCAACCCATTCCAGTTGAACTGTAGTTAGATGAATGCGACAGTTGGGCAAGGATTTTACAAGTCCGGCGCCAAGCCCCAGTGATTGTCACCCAGGAAATCGGCAATTGTGGACAAAAGGAAGTCGCATCTCTGGTGCGCTGGCACTGCTACGCATACACACATACACACACACAAACACACGAACGTAAACGAACTCGTTCATCGTCACTCACACATCTAGCTGTAACCAGTTAGGGGTGTCGTTCTTCCTCTTGGTGCAACCCCGAACCAACCTTGACACAAATATGCATACAGCATAATCACCGAGTTTCCGGCAATGATAAACTTCTCTCGGGAGCAAAAACAACATAAAACGAGAAATAATAGCCAGAATGATGGCACCAAACGAGGGATAGAGAAAAGCAGAACTGTGCACAAACTGAGTCGGTTTGACTCCGAACGCGGTAGCCGAGCGACAGATAATTACTGTTGTAGCAAACTGCGGTTTTCTGGGTGTGGTACCGCGGTGTAAAAAATCGGTCGATTTTGAACAATACTCAAGGGGCAGTAGAACAATGGGGATGAGAGATAGCGAAACTAGACAGAAGAATAACGATTCGGACAAAAATAGTTCGATGATGCTCATCGGACGGTAGTACCTAGCTTGTGAAGTCTTCATCAGTTGGTTTCTTTTCAACAAAAAACCGCTTCGAGAGATCGTGGATATCTGCAGCAGTTCCTGTTACATTATCAAGCTTGATTTTTTGCATGTGCACCGTTGCGTCAGCATTTGATTGGCATGCGAACAAAACGGTACAGTCTGACCCCGATCACTAAAAATGAACTTGTGTTCTCATGAGAACACACTGACTCGATAGCAAACATTTACTGCTTGCAACAATATCATCCTGTTGAGTGTATTGATCGACTGAGAAGAGTGTTATCTGAAAAGGTGAGCGCAAAATCTCATGATGATAACATGTTGTCAATATCAACTGACCAGGTTTGTGGCATCAATAATGATGACTTTCACCTGTGAAAAAATAATCGTTCAGCTGTAACGAGGGCTGAGATACGACCAGGTTGTCCGAACCTAGACAAGCGCAGTCGAGATGTCGAGGTTGGGTTCCAACCACGGACCTTGCGGTTAGCAAGGTCCGCTGAGCTACCTCGAGGTCAAATTTTTACATAAGACTCATGCTAAAAATCAGTCACATTAAGTAGTATACGAGTGTTGTGCTGAACTTTTGAAAATACAAACTTTCACTTATCGTTTATTCATCATTAGTGGTGGAGATTTCCGGACACGTGAGAAGCCAACCCGATGGTCGCTGGTTCGAGTCCATCATCCACAGGCGTGTCTTCCTGTTCATTCCACAAACGTACATGGACCCCCTGATTTCCAGAAGGATAAAGACCAGCTCTTCTGGAGTCTGTCAACACACTCAGTAGGTGAATTCTAGGAATGAACAAAATCTGTTGGCCATCTATCTCCATTCTGCATAAAATCCGTTCAAACTGTTCCCAAATTGTTGTCAACAAAGAGGTCGAGATAGCTGCCGGCCAGAGCATGCCAGTTCCGGCTAAAATACACATTGTAGATGAATTCACGTCCAAATCACTCTCGTTTGCACAGTCATCCTCCTAACCTAATTATTCTGGCATGGACTTACCAAAATAATCACGACAGGACAGGAGGATGGTTGTTCAATTCGGAGTTATGTCGACTGATATTTCCCCCTCAAGGTATTCCATCTTCGTAACTACCGCTTACTTCGTGTTACGGACATTCGTTTTCGTTTCACATTGTGACGATTGCTGATTAGTCTATGGCAGTCGGTTATACTGTACTCCGAGTATGTCCGGTTAACACTAAGATCCATTTACTTCACCGAACGATCAAGCTGAAATGCCCAAATAGACTACCAGTGATGTATACTTAGATATTTGCTATACCTGATCTCACTATAGGTGAGTTGACGTCCCACCAGGTAGTCTGTGGTTTGCCTATGGATCGTACGCAGGATCTCCAAAGGGCTGACCTATTCTGAAGTCCGAAAATCCTACATTCCTGTTTACAACAGAACTGTCGTTACTCGAAGGGTATCCTTTATCGGCTTGTAATTTGTAGCTTCTTCTAAAGCAGTTAGATCTTGTTCAGAATACTTAGCTTGGTTTACTGGCGTGTCCTTATTGCTCGTTGGTTAGTTTGTTAGACAATTTTATTACTTTGGCTGTTCGATTGTTTACGGTTTTCTTCTACGAAAGTTCTGTCCTGAACGCAGATGTTCCAACTCGTTTGATTTACACCGCAAATGTGCATTTCTCAGTTTGAAAGGACACATTTGGTATCAGCTGACTTGCAGATACACCGGATCTCTCACAGTGTCTAAACGAAAACAATACTTTTGACGAAGCTGATGAGATATGTGGAGAACACTAATCGACAGATTTGTTGACATAAAGTTCACTTCCCGTTCGACGTTAATGACGTGTTGGTTGTGGTCTCCAGTACATTCTTCGTCTACAAACGGTGCGCAGGCCGAAAATTTTATCAGGTAGACAATCAGTGAACTGATGTGTCTCAACCGCTTGTGGGTTCAGTGCTTACTGACCTAGAGCCCAAATGAAGGCGAGGGAAATCTAATGCGAATTATGGATTTGTAGGTTGACATACTACTTGGGGAGATTACAGCGTACCAATCATTCATCCTCATTGTCCAGGAGGCACAAAATGGCACCAAAGTTGTTAAACATGGTACCTAAACTCAAGGTTGATTTGAGTGACCTGTAAATAGTTAATCTTTGTGCTCAACAAATGGGTTCAAACACTTGAAGGACGTTTTCTGATAAACTTAGAATATATGCGGCGTTTCTCGTCGACATAATAGAGCATCATTCATGAGAGAAACTACTTACAAGGTTGCTGAAAACTCTTCGAAAAATTTTCAGCAACCTTGTGAGTAGTTTGCTTTATGAAAATGTACCGCAATATCTCGAATATCATGCTAACTGAATCATGAAGCGGCCTGTGTGCAGCACTCTCAGTTGTAGAATATCATAAACGATTCATTTGAGTCTCTCGTGAAAACCCAATTGATTTGCAAATGAGTGTATTTCTCGAAAACAGTCCAATGTGGGTTCAAGTAGAACACAAGGTTGATGGAAACTCGGGGACTGCGCCTGCTTGATGAGTCCCAAGAAGGGCGAAACCAGTCGTGGACTGTCGAAGAGTTTTCAGCAACCTTGTGAGTAGTTTCCTTTGTGAAAAAAGAGAATCATTCCGTTTTTCAGGACGAATCGTACCGTCCACAAAAAATTGCATTAAAGTGATAAACCGTTGTTTTCATCTTGCTTTCGATGCCAGTTGGTTCACAAATGAGGCTAGCTCTCGCTCCTTCCATTCGCAAAAATACAGTATAAACCTCATAGAACCTCAAAGAGAATCGGGCTTCGCGGACGAAGGAGCATTCCATTCATGACTTTCATAGACAAAAAATGTATGAATTTAGAAAACAACGAGGTAGTTTGTCAGGTAACCCTATCCAGCACACCCTTGTAGGTTTAAGATCATTGTGCTCGGGTCGAGATCACTGAAGACTCGTACTGAATGGGCAAAGGTTCAGGCCAGATCACTGCCATACATTTGAGGTTTTCAAAAACTGAGGACTCTGCCTTTTCAACCAGTTTCTTAGAGGGTAAAACGTACGTTTTGAAAGAAGACAGAAAATGAAATGCGAATGCTCCGAAAAATGGCAAATTCAGTAGAATAAAAAGGGCGAAGACTGAGTTTACAGATCGTGTCAGGTTTTTTCTACTGAGCGTTCATTCGAAAACCATACTGACGCCAGTATACGTATACCTATTGTCAGATGAAACGAGTTACTGAGTAAAGTGTCAAGGGATTGGCTGGGTTGAACGGGTCAAAAGTGACCTCAACAATGCGCAGTGTGTGGGCGGTTTTGTCGAAGCTTTGGCTCCCTTGTTACAAGTGTGTTCATAAAAGCAGTATGCGATACAACCCGGGTAGTCATCCTCGGTAGAGATGACCAAGATGGTCTTAACAGATGCCCGTTACTATGTTTGGTTCAAACAAGGTTCAGGAAACTCAGTGTGGAATGGTAACTGGTTTTGTAGAAAGTGACTAGTCCAGGCGTTAGAATTCCCCCGTGAAACTGGATGATCGGTGTTTGATCGGAGGTTTTTGAATACTCGTCGACAACCTACGACGGGTTTCACCCTCGTTGGGGCTCAGCAGGTAGGTGCATGTCCTCGAGTTTCAGTCAAACTGGAAACAGTTGGCGAACTAGACTGATCTGCAAAGCAAGTCGGTGTTAATAGGAGACTCAGAGGAGTTCCGCTGAGTCTTCTGTTTACCATGTTATTCATTCGAATGTGCTGCCTAAAGGCCGCCTCTTATACGGTGATATTCGAGAAATCACAACACATTTTGTTGGAGGATGATATTTTCCATGAAATCCTCAGCAGCCCGTGATCACTTTCATCCTTTTTGCGATTTATTAGGTAGTCATAGTCACCAGAAGTTCATCAACCAAAAATCCTACCGGTAGTGGGCTGCGGAAGAGTTTCGAAAAATGCCCACACTTGTCAAATCATAGGCACAAAACTGCACTTGAGATAAAGAATCATCATTCTGCATTCTGCATTGAAATTTACAGCTGACCCGCAGCTGTGGGGGGAAGAAAACTATACTGAAGGGTGAAAATGAGTGGACATCTCCAAGGAAAACACCCAAGTGCGAGTTGTCATGACCTTCCAAAACTACTGAGGTAAACCCGTTTGATTATCATTTTGGAGCACGGCTCTCTGTCGGCGGGATCAACCCAGTGTTCTTTGGGAACCTCACCTGCATAAACGACAGATAGTCTGACTAAGAGATAACAGATCAGTTGCGTGCCATTTTCTGTAAAGCTCCAGCCACATGCCTAGGGAATCACAGCGCCCGGTAAGAAGTGAAGATCCCACAACATTCAGCGCAATTTTCTGTAAAGCTCCAGCCACATGCGAGGGGAATCACAGCGCCACAACACTCAACTTGATTGTAGTAGCTTTCAGTTCCGTTTGCTACGTCACGGCCTGTTAGCCGCGAATCTTCTACCAAGAACGAATTGGAGTGGCCTCCGTGGCCAGAGACGTTGGCTGTGCACATGTAGTACACGCCACGACCACCTCAAAACTGACGAAACGTATCTGCTCTTGCAGCGGATCTGACTCGTTACCTGGTACTCATGCACTACGTACATGCTGCAGCCAACTTAACAAATACTATACTACTGATGCATTATTCAGCGAACACTTGAGAATGTTTCGGGTGTTCAGATCGGAGGGGCCGCCTTTCACAACCATAAACCCGCCCGGTTTCCTCGGACATGCGCCTCGCGTGATGAGCTCAGACTGAAGATCGTGGCAATGAACAGGGCTTATATCCCTATGGTTGAAGCAGTCTCTTCTGGTGCATTTTTTTGAATGAGGACTAGTTCATCCCAATTTGTCGGAAGGCATTATTGTGTCCAAATTAAATTAAATAATCTGGTCAAAACCAAACAAAGAGGCTCATCTCCGTACTCGTACAGCACTGATGGAAGCCCACCTGGCTCAACGGCCCAAAAGTGTATTAGTATTTCGGAACCTGAAGGTGGATTTATACTCAGACCCAAACCCAGACCCAGCAGACCACTGCTCGAGTTCAAAAAGTATAAGTATGGGATCATGGGAATAACTAAAATTTTGCTCAACCTACTCAGCCCAGCAGTATGACACTGGTTCTTGTTCTATATCAAATTTCTAAATTACACTTGCTGACCTTACCAACAGCCGGTTTGGTTCCCGTTCCGTCTATTAGGCAAGGAATTTTCCGGATATTTCCAGCTGCACTAGATCTTCCATTTTCAAGGCCATCTGATTGCATCAGCATTATTTATCCGCACGCAGACCATGTTCGGACGAACATCCAGCAGCCATTCCAGCTGAATTGTGCTCACCACTCGAAGTCATGTGGTTTAACCCTGGACGTTCATCTCAGGGCCAATATCCTGCTAAGGCAGCACGTGCGGTAGATCCAAGGTTAACTGCCCATTTGGGGCTTGCTGTCACATGACGTCGGTTCTCTCTCAGCCCAACCGCATCGCAGCCTGGACAACATGAATCTTATTCAGTGCGCCTGCCTTGCAAACATCTGGCTTTGTGACGCCAGGTGGGTGGTACGAGGTTTTGATATTGTGGCAGAGAGAAGCTAGGACAGTTATGTTACTATTACGGCCGGGTAGGTCCGCACAACTTGGGATGGAACCATGCGAACTTCATCGGATCGCGATGTCCAGAAGTTGACGCTGTTCTGATGGGGACCGTTAAAAAACAGCATCTTGTCTTCAACTTCCTGATGATGATTGAAAAATTAACCAACTGTTTTTGTAACAAAGACGGACAGTTGAAATTTCAGGTTTACACTTTTGTAGAGTTTGACTGTGGAAGTGTCTGTGCAGGTTGCTACAATAGGTATCTGATGCCTACATCATCCCACTACTCATAAGTAGCAACTTGGTAAAGTTGCCATTCTCAATGCTCACAGCAGTAACAACTCTGGAATGAGTAGGGATGGACGGAAATATGAGAAATCGCACAAAAAATCATCGTTTCAGTGAAAGAAACGCCGACTAAGAGGATATCGGAAGAGCATCTTTTCACATTGCTACTTTATGAATAACTTGTGACTTTTAAGGACCCCTTCCGCGAGTTCAGGAGAGAGCACAAGCCATTTAGCTGGGCAGCTTGCGGTATCATTCGTAACCCATGAGTACACCAGGTGTATGAGTGTCTGATAAGCCCTTCAAATGCGGGAGGTAACATCCACCTGATTGGGGCTTATTGAAATCACCAGATGAAATAAAACACCTAACTAAACGAGTGTGTGAGTGACTGATGATTGGTTGTTTCTTCGGTGCTAGGTTGTCGGTAGTAAACTTGAAGTGTCTGATAAGATGTTATTAAATTGCGCGCCATTTTTGCTACTGCTAATCTAAACACCGGAAATTCGTCCAGCAATACTGTCGTGAGATGTCCATTCGTTCTAGGATCCTCTTATGCGATGAGGGCGCTTTCTGAGATCAGTTAAGTTAACCTAAAACCAACCTCCGTTTACGAAGAAATGTTGAATCGGACTAAACGAGTTGGTTGAAAGAAGCGCAAAATTCCTTTTCTATAGCTTCATAGTTGTTGGTATTCGCGGAGTAAAGACTGCTGAGGCCAAGTACCATGCTTAGTTGGGTCGGGCAGAAAACCGGACCCTGTTCTGACAGTTTCTATAGACTATCAACAAACTGTCAACAGACTGACAGTCGCAGTAACGTCACCTGAATTCCCATCTACTGCGAGATTCAAGTCAATATGAGAATTGCAAAGGCCAGCCAAGCTTTTTGTTACGACACTAAAGCTTAGGGAACCTCCTGAAAATAGTATCGTTCAGGATGCATTCCTCGAGGAATTCACTGGGGTCACTTGGACCAGCTCTTGGAGATTCCTGAAAACTATGTTATATATTACATGATTACTCGTGAAAAAACATTCGTACGGACTATCAAGAAAGAACCGGCAGCTCAGGGGATGGAACATGATTAGGGTTACATGATTAAGGTTACTGAACCACAGGGGACACACCTGAGACGCTGCAGCGGCTGCGTTGTCTTGGCAGAAGCTAAGTTGCATACAGCTTGTGAGAACTACGTTCTAAGCAAAAGCATTCGACTCATTCTACATAAGTGGAGGGCTAAGAACACATCGGACACCAGCTTACAATAAGATAAAGTTCGGCAAACTGCTGAGGATATTCTAGAACAGCAAGCTACTCACACTATTGATCAGCTTAAGGCTTTATATCAGGACTCCCTGGGTTCGATGAGGTGTGTGAAACACCTTTACAGTGCTTTTCATCTTTTCCGCATTGGTTAGTTTCACTCGAACGACAAGTTTTCATTGAATGATGAATAAGTG